AATAGAAGAAAGACTAGAAACAAAGGTGAAATGAGGTGAAGAAAGACGGTCATAACTCAAAAAGGTATAAAGAGGATAAGGGTTACGCGTAGTACGTGTACCTTTTCTTTGAGCAATGGGAAGAGTCTCTGATGAAGGATCCGGAGGGGAAGAAGCAACAGCAGTGGGCGATGAGTCAGCAAGAGTCGAGTCGACAGGAGGCACAGTTTTGCGACGCTGATAGGTGAGAAGTGGACGGTCCTCAGGTATAGAAGCAATAGGTTGCTCTTCTGGAATAGAAGCACCTGCAGCTGGCAAAGACAAGTCAAGAAAAGGGACAGGAAGTACATGATCAACCTGTGACATCTGAGATGGGATAGAATTAAAGAGTTTTTGATCAAGAAAAGTGACATCAGCGGAAACTAAGTAACGCTTAAGGTCGGGAGAATAACAACGATAACCCTTTTGAAGACGAGAATAACCAAGAAAGATACACTGAAAGGCTTTGGATGTTAACTTATCCTTACCAGGAGTGAGATCATGAACAAAACAAGTACAACCAAAAACATGTGGAGTTAGAGGATAAAGAGGAACATCTGGAAGCAATAGATTATGAGGAATGTCATTGTGGAGCACAGATGAAGGCATGCGATTGATGAGAAAACAAGAGATGAGTACAACATCTGCCCAGAAGTGAAGAGGAACCTGCATATGAATAAGAAGGGTACGAGCAGTTTCAATGAGATGTCTGTTTTTACGTTCAGCCACCCCATTTTGTTGTGGAGTGTGAGGACAAGTAGTTTGATGTAAAGTACCTTGTGTGGCCAAGAAATTAGAAAAATCAATAGAAACATATTCCTTAGCATTATCACGACGTAGAATACGAATAGAAACACCAAATTGAGTATGGATCTCAGTAGAAAACTTTTTATAAATGGAAATAACTCAGAACGATTTTTCATTAAATAGGTCCAAGTGCAACGGGAAAAATCATCAATAAAGGTAACGAAATACCGAAAACCTAAGACAGACAAGGTACGACTTGGACCCCAGATATCTGAATGAACAAGAGAGAAAGGGGCATCAACTCGTTTATTGACTCGACTGGCAAAAGAGGAGCGTGTATGCTTCCCTTGTTGACATGACACACAATCTAAAGACTGAAGACCGAACAAAAGAGGAACCATTTTCTGCAACTTTGAAAGACTTGGATGACCAAGGCGACTGTGGATAAGTTGTGGAGATTCTTTGAGAGAGCATGCTACTGAAGGATGAGGCACATCCAGATAATAAAGCCCCCGTGACTCACGACCCAATCCAATCATTTTCCCCGTACCCGGATCCTGCACAGAAACAGAATGGTTAGAGAAAGTAATGGTGCAAGTGAGGGAGTGGATCAACTTACAAATAGAAATTAAGTTATAAGGGATGCCAGGAATGTAATAGACAGATGTCAGGGCCAAGGTAGAGGTCGGGCGAGCTTGTCCAATCCCACAAATTGGGGCTTTGGTTCCATCCGCAAGGGTAAAAGACGGTAAATGATCAGAATAAGTAAGAGATGTAAAGAGTTCCTTATTACCACAGAGATGATCGGTAGCACCGGAGTCAAATATCCAAGTGCCAAGTGATGTAGAATGAGAAATACAAGCAACGGGATTACCAGTATAAGGCTGAGACTGAGGAGAAGCCTTCCTGAGAGGGGTTTGGAGTGCAGCACAGTCCGAACCTGAACCAAATGATGCTTTGTCTGACTGAGCTATATTTGCAACAATAGAAGGAGAGTTAACCTCCGAGAGATCAGGAGATGCTGCTGCCATTTAAAGATAAAATATAAAAGCCGTAAACGAAGGCAAACGATATCCAATCAAGAAGAACCACGCGTCTAAGGTCAGACCCACAGAGAAACAATCACAGATCCAGAAAGGGGAGGAGAAGGCGAGCTTCTCTGTCCAAGACCGGCCGGAAAAAGCCGCCGGAATAGTGCTCACGCGCCGGCAGAAGGTGGCGCGTGAAGCCCACGCGCAGTGAAGACAGGTGGCGCGTGACGGCGCGTGGGAGATGCGTTGCTGACCGGACCACCACAGACCTGGTCGCCGGGAAGAGAGGTCCTGATCGCGTGAAGTTTGGTCGGAAAAGTCGCCGGAAAAAGTCTCCGGTTGCCTGAACAGTGATTCTGACGGCGGGCGGTGGTTCCGGTGGCCGTCGAAGGTGCTGACGCGTTTGGAAAAATCACTCAGAGGCTGTTTACAGCCTTAGAAGGCTTGCCGGAAGGACGCACGGCAAGAAAGAGGACTCCTAAGCAGTGGGCTTAGGTTTTTAAAGCAAAAAAAAAAGGTTTCTGAGCGGAAGCGAGGGTTCCTAGAACGAAAGAGCTCTGATACCAAGTTAAATGTAAAAGAATACGTTGTGTATTGATCTGTGTCAAGGAGTTACAATATATAGAGACCCTAATGGGCTTAAGTGTAAGGCCCAAACCTAATCCAAACCTAATCCTAATACAGTCAGACTATTTACGGATAAGACAAAATCCAATCATATCTAATCAAATCTAATCATATCATATCTAATATTCTAACAACCACGAAGGTGATTAATAGCACATGAGTCAAATATCCAAGGACCAAGTGATGCAGAATGAGAAACACAAGCAACGGGATTACCAGTTTCTGAAGCAGAGGGCTGAGACTGAGGAGAAGCCTTCTTGAGAAGGGTCTGGAGTGCTGCATAGTCTTCAGAGGAGAGAGAGACTGTACCAGTTGAAGCAGTATCTGATTGAGCTATATTAGCAGCATGAAAGGGTCGCAGGTGAGGATACTTTGTGTAGCAACGTTCCTCATAATGACCGAGTTGCTGACAATAATGACAACGAGGTCGCTGACCATGTCCTCCTGGGCCACGTCCTCCCTGGCCTCTACCATGTCCATGACCACCTCCAATGTTCCCGCGAAAGTCAGTACGGGAAACTAGAGAGTGGAATCAGCTACAGTAGATGATGCAGGAGCAGATTTCTTATTAAGATTCAGAAGACGCTGATACGTCATTAATAGATCTGGATCCCCACTGGTCAAGATAGTATCCCGGACATTATCATATTCTTCAGGAAGACCAGAAAGTGTGGCAACCATTAAGAGACGTTCCACCTGTTTCCGATATGCAGACGCATCAGTAGGGTATGGCAACATATCTAAATATGCCTGCATCAGAGATCGACTTTTGCCAACATATGTCTCCATCTGAGTGTCAGATGATTTGCGCAGATCCATAAACTGAGACATGATGGAATAGAGCTGCTGAACATCATTAGTGTAGAGGTGTTTTGCTTCCTCCCACACTTCAGTGCAAGTTTGAAAAGAATAGAAGATGTCCAAGACGATTGGATCAATCGATTACCAAAGGATACTCAGAAGCTGGTTGTCAATCCTTTCCCAATCAGATTTTTCTTCCTTGGGAATATCAGTAGATTTAGTCGAGAGATGGTTCCCATGTCCCTGTCCAAAGAACCAAACTCGAACAGAGGTGGCCCAGTTCTTGTAATTAATAGATACCTTCAACTTTGAAGAGGTAATGGGCCCAACATTGGTGGAGATGATATTAGGAGAACTTTTGGCAGGACGAGGGGGAGAACTGACCTCCGAATGAACAGGAGAAGTTGCTGCCATTATATTAAATCACAAGGATATAAACTAAGTAAATAGGAACGAACTTGATCACAAATCAAGAAGAGGCACGAACAAAAAATGAGACCCACAAAGATCCAATCACAGATCTGGAAAAGGGGAGTAGAGGACGATCTTTTCTGTCCAAGAACGGCCGAAAAATTCCTCCGGATCAGTGCACACGCGCCGACAGAAGGTGGCGCGTGAGCACCACGCATAGAGGAGAACGACGGCGCGTGACGGCTGCGATGGTGGTCGGACTTCCACAAACTTTGTCGCCGAGAGGAGAGGCTCTTGATCGCGGGTGGTTTGGTTCGAAAACTCGCCGGAAAACTTCTCCGGCAGCCTGAACAGTGCTGGGCAGCGGTTCCGGTGGCTGTCGGAGGTGCTGACGCGTTCGGAAATTATTCTAAAGGAGCTTACAGCCCTTTATGGCTTGCCGGAAGGACGCACGGCAAAGAAAAGAGGATTCCTAAGCAGTGGGCTTAGGTTTTAAAGCGAGAACGAAGTTTTAAGCGAAAGCGAAGGTCCCCAGAACTAAAGAGCTCTGGTACCAACTTGAATATAAAATAATGTGTTGTGTATTAATCTAATACAAAGAGTTACAATATATAGAGACCCTAATGGGCTTAAGTGAGAAGCCCAGATCTAATCCAAAAAGAATATTTACAGATAGAAAGTAATGTATTCAAATCTAATCATATCTAATCATATCTATTCTAACACCAATCAAGAGTGAAAATGAAAAATCTTTAATTTTCTACCTTCCCATTATATTTTTAAATTATTATTTTTACCAAGCTTACGTAAAGTAATTTTCATTCCACATATTCCATCTCCCCACTCAACAACATTCATACTTAGCATATATGCAATTATTGTCATAGGACTAAGATTTTCAGCTGTAAGTAGGAGAATTATTAAATCATTAATGCCCTGTCTGAGCTTCTAATACTTCTAAAATCATTAGATATCAGCATAAGGTTGAGGAACCATAAAGTCACCTCTTCTTTCTCCATTCCTGTACTACTTAAGTGGCTCCTGCATCCGCATATAGTTAAACTGATTTCTTAATTATACTTATCTATTTTAAAGTGTTTAAACTTTTTAATCATTACTTTCATTGCTTTTGTTAGATATGTCATAAAGCCATTAATGTACCTTCATCCAACATCTTAAGCTTTTAAGATAGTTGGTTTATGACATGATGTTTTGGGATAATTTGCTCATGACCACTTCTATCATTGAGTTTTATATGGTCCATGTACTTGTCAACAATTATAAAATAACTTTCAGCTATATATTTAAGAAACAGGTGGTGATTGAATATTATTTATGTTGATAACCTTTTTATTTCCTTTGCAGGGGAGTCAAAGCTAATTGTTCATTTTCATTTCTTGAGGTGGTTGTGGGTTGTCAGATTGCAGACAGTGAATCAGCTTTTGAGCATATGACTGGCAATGCTATTAATGGGCAAGAGAAGACAATTTATTTACATCTGAAGAAATTTTTTCGTGGCTCACGTTTTACCTTTAGACCTTTCCTTAAAAGAATCGAAGAAAAGTATCAAGAGGGAGACATAGCATGTGTGAGTGGCAAGGTGCGATTGTTTTACTCCCCAACCCTGTTTAATGTTGTATTGCGAGTTTTTAATTTGGAGGAATTGGTTTTTCTCAAGTTGATAGATGCTATCATAAATTGAGTGTTGAAGGTGATAAGGTTTTAATATAAATGAATTGCGTGGATATGTATAATCCAGAGGAATATGTAAGTGATTCATATACGGCATCTTTTTCTTTTATCAAGGGTTCTTTCAATTGATATGTTTCTACAAATAATTGAAATAAGTGAGCAACTGTATATCATTCTGTATGAGAAGAATCTTTAGTTTGAGCCATGCTTGGTTGCCTACCCCCAAATAAAAAATTGCTTAGAAGCATTGGGATTTTTGTTTTTAAGGTACCGTTAGGCAATGTTTAAAAACCTGAAGCTGAGATTGAATTGGTTAGACCTTTGGGTTGTTTGATTAGTTCAACCAGCTAAATTGGTTGTTGAATCGAACAATGCAATAAGGAGTAATCTGACTGGAAATACAATTGTAAAGGGGTGTCCAGTTCCTTAGTTGAAGGGGAGAAGGTTGAGGAAATTGCCAACTTTAAACTTCTCTCAGGTGCAAAAACAACAACTAATAATAATTATTAATCAGCATATTTGTGCCATATAAGAACTCCGCCTATGTGTGCTTGCATGCATGGCCTGTCCCAAGCTAGGATAAATGAGGAGGGTTGGCGTCGGGCGTAGTGAGCTGGCCATAAAAAGCAGCTATTTTTATGAGATGAACCCTTATGATTTTTCGTTGGGGCAATACCTTTCATAGCGACGCGTTGCATTAGACCCCGGGTGTAGCGAAAAATGGGCTAGGGCCCTTGCCACAAGGCAAGGTGCTACATTGGGTCTCGGGTGTAGTGATAAATGGGCTAGGGTTCTTGCCCCAAGGCAAGGCGCCACATCTTCACCCGGATTTGGTGACAAGTCTGTTTGGGTCCCAACATGCAGATGGGCGAGCGTGGCGGGATGCCCAAGGGTTAAGGATGCGATTGGGAAGTTGGAACATAGGAACCTTATCGGGTAAATTGAGGGAGTTAGCAGATGTTTTAGCGATGAGGAAAGTGTATATTGTTTGCTTGCAAGAAACTAAGTGGGTTGGAGAAAAAGCCAAGAAAGTAGAAGGTACCGATTTCAAGTTGTGGTACACAGGTATAAACAAGAGTAGAAATGATGTTGGCATTATGATCGATAGAAGTTTCAGAGATAAAGTGATTGACGTCAAGTGGAAAGGCGACAGGATTATTTTGGTTAAGCTTGTAGTGGATGATTTAATTTTGAATATCCTCAATATGTATGCTCTCCAAGTCGGATTGCAATTAAACGAGAAAAACCAATTTTGGGAGATACCACTAGAGGAGAAGATTTTCATAGGAGGAGATCTAAATGGTCATGTTGGTAAAAGCAGTGGAGGTTTTGATAGAACTCATTGAGGTTTTGGTTTTGGGACGAGAAATGAGACCGGAGAAGATATCTTGAACGTTGCGCTAGCTTATGATTTGATGCTAGTGAACACCTTTTTTTTTAAAAAAGGAAGTCACATCTAATCACTTATCATAGCAGCCAAAATCGTAGCTAGATTGATTTCTTTCTGGCTAGAAGAGAAGATATAACTTCTTGTGTTGGCTGTAAGGTCTACTCTGGATAATATGTCACTACACAACATAAGCTGATAGTTCTAGAGGTTCGGTTAAACAAAGTACCCAAAATGCGGAAGAGTGCCTAGAACCTAAGGATTAGATGGTGGAAGCTAAAGGAAGAAAAACAGATGGAGTTTAAGGAAAGAATGCTCCAGGAAGAACCATGGGAGTTGGATGGACGAGCGAATGAAATGTGGAATGAGATGGCTATGTGTCTCCAAAATGTGGGAAGGAGGGTGTCAGGAGAAAGCAAAGGGAATGGATCTCAAATAAAGGAAACGTGATGATGGAATGAAGAGGTGCAGGAAACAATTAAACAGAAGAAGGAATGCTTTAGATGTTTGCATAAAAGTCCTAATGATGAGAACTTGCAAAAGTTTCGTTTAACTAGAAGAAATGCTAAGAAAGTAGTGCGATTAGCTAGAGGCAAGGTTTTCACAGATTTGTATAAAAATCTTGGGAGTAAGGGTGGTGAAAAAAGTATATATAAACTTGCAAAAATGAGGTATAAGAAAAGTAAAGACCTCACCCAAGTTAGATGCATCAAGGATGAAAATAAAAAACTTGTAGTAAAAGACATGAAGGTAAAAGAAAGGTGGATGAACTACTTTAACAAGCTTTTTAAAGGGGTTGGTGATAAAAGCAAGGTGGACTTGAAGGACGCTTATGATGATTTGAATACAAGATTTGTGCACAGAATCCAAGCACATGAAGTTAAGGAGGCTTTAAAGATCTTGAAGACCAGTAAAGCTTTGGGACCCAATGGTGTCCTTATTAAAGTGTGGAAAGGCTTGGGGGATGTGGCAATAAAATGGTTGACCAATTTTTTCAATAAGATTCTTCAAACAATTAAGATGCTTGATGTCTGGAGGAAAAGTTTGCTTGTGCCTATTTACAAAAATAAGGGAGATATTCAGAATTGTTCTAATTATAGAGGCATTAAGCTAATGAGCCATACTATGAAGTTGTGGGAAAGAGTTATTGAACATCACTTGAGGAGAGAGACCAAGGTCTCTGTAAATTTGGTTTTATGCTAGGCAGATGTACCATGGAAGCCATTTTCTTGAACGACAATTAATGGAAAGATATTGAGAAAAGAAGAAGGGCTTACATATGGTGTTTATATATCTTGAGAAGGCTTATGATAAGGTCCAAAGAAAAGTTTATGGTGGGTTCTTGAGAATGAAAAAGTATCATCAAAGTATGTAGATGCAATCAACGAAATGTATGATAGTACTACTGCATGTGTGAAAGCTTGTAATGGAATATCAAATTATTTTCCTATCACGGTAGGTATACATCAAGGTTATGCTCTAAGTCCTTATCTCTTTGCCTTAGTTATGGATGAACTAACAAAAGATATTCAAGAGGAAGTGCCGTGGTGTATGCTTTTTACAGAGCATATTGTGCTTATTAATGAGACCAAGGCACCGTTAATAGAAAACTAGAATTATGGAGAAGCACGTTAGAGTCTAAAGGATTTACGTTAAGTCGGAGCAAGACTGAGTATATGAAGTGTGAGTTTTCTCTGGCAAGAGATAGAGATCAAGATTCCGTGCATTTGCTTGGACAAGGTACTCAAGAAAGATGTTTTCAGATATCTGGGATCAATTTTGCAAAAAGGTGGAGAGATTGATGAGGATGTAAATCATAGAATTAGAGTAGGGTGGATAAAATGATGTAGTGCGACTGAGTTTTTTGTTGATCGCAAAATTCCCCTTAAGCTAAAAAGAAAATTCTATAGAACAGCAGTAAGACCTGCAATATTATATGGAGCTGAATATTGGCCAACACATAGGCATCATGAGCATAAAATGAGAGTTGCGGAAATGAGAATGTTATGTGGATGTGTGGTTATACAAAGATGGATAAGATAAGAAATGAGGATATTAGGCAAAAGGTGGGAGTAGTACCGGTGGCAGAAAAGATGAGAGAACATAGATTGAGGTGGTTTGGGCACGTAATGATAAGGCCCTTGGATGCTCCCATAAGAACGAAAGTTTGTTATTAAGAGCTTGACATAAAGAGAGGTAGAGGTAGACCGAAATTTACTTGGAGGAAGGTAATAAAATAAGACTTAATGGAGTGAGATATAGATTGACGGACATTGTGTCTTACGACGGAGTAGAGAAAAGCTATAAGCATGGTTTAGGTTAGACTCGTTTTTATTCCTACGTTCCAGACGTTCCGTTTTTTGTCCTTTTCCTCTTTATCTCCCACCCTCACTTTCTGTTTCCTTCTTCTCTTTTATTTCATTTTTCCTTTCAATCTTTCTTCTTTTACCTATTTATTTGTGTGTTTTTCTTTTTCTTTTTTCCCTATATTCCTTTTTAATTTTTTAATTTTTTTTATTTAATTTTTTTTATTTGATTTGATTTTTTTTTTATTTCTTACCTTCTTATTCTTTTTTGTCCTCCTATATATCCTTGTTTGTATTTTATTTTAATTTATTTTTCCTTGAAATTGTGTACTGCTTTTTTTCGGATACTATTATGTATATGGGTTTTATTAGTCTCCTTTAACATAAGATAGTTATCTTATGTTGTAGAGATAAAATAAGTGGGTCCCACCATTACAAGAAAAAAGAAAAAGGTGGGGTGCGAAAATCGAAGTGAGAGAACATGAGATAAATTATCTTATGTAAAAGGAGAGTAATATTTCCCTATATCTTTATATATATATATATACTTAAAGTTTATTTTTATCATTTTCTTTTTCTCAATCTTTTTGTATCTTTTTTTTTGGTTCATTTACCACCGACCCCAACTAGTTTGGGATAAATGTGTTGGTGATGTTAATGTTGATATTTGTGCCATATAAGCCTTTTTTTTAATGTGTATGTTGAGGTCCTTAATTCATAAATTTTCTAATTGAGATTCTTAAATGATTTTCAGCTATGAGTTGAGGTCCTACAACATTTTGCTGAAGTTGTACAAAAGACTTATTCAGTTTATTTTTTATTTTCCAAATACAAAGTGAATTTTGGGAATGTAGATAAAATTAAATACAAAATATTTCCTAAAGGGAAAGAGCACTAGCAGACACCGTTTTAGGGAGTGGGTCCATGGGAAGAGGAGAGAGAGTGATCAAGAAAGAAAGCTGGTGAAAGCATGACTGCTTATTTTATGGTGGGGTCATGCTCTAAAATGTCTTATCAAAATTATTAGGTTTGGGTAAGGAGGCAGGATAAGATAGAATAGAAACTCAAAATAATAGGATATTAAATTGATATGGCGCATTATGATGTGTTACAAAAAGACAGGGCACTAACCCCTAATTATACTAAGATCAAATTAAGTACTACGTTGCAAATTCTAATCAAATAAGGGAGCAAATAACTTATTAAAGATAAAATCCCTTGGAATAAGATAAGGTTCCTAAAAAGATTCATAAAAATAATGGTACACAATTATCCCTAAAATAGCATTAATTATCCTAATCTATTATGCATCATTTTCTCCCTCTTAAGATATTTTGTAGATATTCTATCATGTCTTATATTTATGATTTGTATTATATTTATATGATTTTATCTGCTGTGCTTTTGTCTTGCTTATTTTCATACTTGCACTAAGATAAAGTCTTATTCTTGATTATTCTGTTTTAATTTGATTTTAGAGTTTTGTAAGACTGCACATAATTGTTGCATTTTAAAGTAGGTCAGGACTATGCGTGCTAAGGATCACTACGAGATGAGAGAATATAACATCGATGTGCTTGAAGATGGAAAAGATTTATCCGTTTGTGCTAAAGAGAGGCCATATCCCATCTACCCTTCCAAAGGGGGTTTGAACCCAGTTTTTCTTAGGGACATTATTACGAGGTTTGTGCTTTCAAATTCTTGTAACTAAGAATCTTATTAGTAAAGTTAAACTTTTTGGAAATATATATCTAGTTTAGGAACAATTAACCACTGAAGCAATTGAGAGAAACCCTAATCCGTGCCACTTCCAAATTCTTGTTAGTAAGAATCTTATTAGTAAAGTTAATTTTTTGTAAATCGATATCTAGTTTAGGACATAGATATATAAGAGAACATAGATTGAGATGGTTTGAGCGATGCTCCGGTAAGAATAAAAGTTTATTACCAAAAGCATGACACAGAGAGAAAAAAAGGTAGATTGAAACTTCCTTAGGGAAAAGTAGTAAAACAAGACTTAATAGAATGAAATATAGATTGACGGATAGTGTATCTTAGGACAAATTGGAGCAAAGCTATTAACTTTGTGGAGGGTTAGACTAATTTTTCTTCCTATATTCCAAATAGTCCGTTTTTAGCCTTTTTCTCCTTTATTTCACTTTATTTCTTTCTTTTCCTCTTTTTTTTATTTTTATTTTGTTTTCTTTTTCCTTCTCTTTTATTTCTCTTTTTCTCTCAATCTTTCTTCTCTTATTTATTTATTTTTATCTCTCTTATTTGTTTTTTTTTTTTAACTTTCTTATTCTTTTCTTTTTTACTCTTGTGTATCTTTATTTTCACTTTATTTTATTTTATTTTTGCTTTTAATCATTTATTGCTTATTTTAATGGATAGTGTGATACGATTTATATTAGAAGGGGAAGGATAATCATCCTAAAAGAATGAAAGAATATACTCAATGATTAAAGAGTTAGTTAGTTAGTTAGGTGGGTTGGGTTTTTTGGTATAAAAGAGGGAGTTGTCCTCTCTATAGGGTAGGATGATATTTTTAACAAAATAGTGACTGAGAGTGCTTAGTGAGAAGGGAAGTGCCCCTTGGCAAGAGAAGTGTCTCTTGTATGTTCATTTGATTTTCTCATCAATAAAAAGATATTGTTCTTTCTCTTCCCACTTTTCTTTCCGTTTTCATGTCTAAAGAGTCCTGAGCCATAACAATTGGTTCAACTTGCCAGATCTTTGATGAGGCTGCCATGGATGTAACTATTGGAGCTCTGCAGAGTTCAAACAATGAGGGAGACCAGAAAATTGATTCTTGGTATTCCAAGATTGTAGAGATTAAGGATATGCTATTGATATTGCTAAAGATCCCAAAAAGTGAGTGAGAGAAAGAAAAAAGGAAGAAGCTATCCTCAGAAATCAAGAAGAAGCAATCTTGGGAAATGGAGGAAGTTTCCATCCATGGGTGTCTGTGCGTTGATAACAGAGTGCTTCGGGAAAAAAGGAACAAAGACTTTAGAAGAGGTGCAAGAAGAGTTAGAGTTGGAACTAGGTGCGAAGTAAACCACTAGAGAAGATGAAGATGGATCTCACATCTTGGTTCATGGATTAGAAAAAATTCACGAGGGTTTTTCTTTGATGGGTCAGTGTAATTATGTCTCAAGGCACAACTTAAGGATAAAAGACACACTGGAGTTGAGGGAAGAGAACACCGAGATGGAACAAAAGCAAGACTCGGTGGAGGCGGTACAACAGAGCGTGGTAGTAGAAATACTAGAATCTAGAAACTCAATGGGGAAGATAGTAGCAAAAAAGGAAGACAAAGAAACCACTGGAATGGCGGAATCAATGAGGTTAGAATCCACAAACACAAAGGAGGTGATAATTGAGGCCAGAAAAAATGGAGAAGGAAGTTGAGATGAAAGGAAAAAGTATGGGCACTATGCGATATGCACCAACATCCTCACCACCGAAAATCATGGAGGAGATGAGATTGAAGCTTTGTCTAAGTTCTGATGAGATCCCGACAAAGGGACTTAGAATGGGTAGTGTCTCAACCCAAATAGGTTATGCTCTTTTGGGTTTTAGGAACCCGTTAGCTAGTGTCTCAACTTTGATGGGTTTTAGGAACACGCCGCCACAGCAGAACAGCCTCTCCGGCACGTGTGAGCCACGCGCCGCCCTGTCGGCCTCCGTTTGTCACTCGGCTTCCACAGATCGACTCGCCTGATCTTCCTCTTCCTGTTCTGGGGGTTTAAATCACGGTTGGAGCACTCTTCTTGCTGGGTCCAGTTGGTTCCTCTTCGTGACCTGTTCCTCTCCTTCCTTTTTGAACGATGGAAGTTGAAAATATTGAGGCTGAGAATAAGCATTCTGAAAAATCATCCGGTAATGTTTCCGGTGTCTCTCCTCTTCCCTGTTCCTTGTCTTCCGGAGACAACCCAGCTATACAGATTACTAACCATCGTTTAAACGGTAAGAATTATGTGCAATGGCATCAATCTGTCAAGCTGTTTATCCAAGCAAAAGGGAAAATGGGGTATCTTGATGGAAAAAAGGAAAAACCCGAGGCTGATGAACCGGATTATGATAAATGGATGACTGAAAATGCCTTGGTCATGACCTGGTTGACTAACTCCATGGATCCTGATATCAGTCAAACTTATTTGTTTCTTGATACGACTTAGGAAATTTGGGATGCCGTTAAAGAATATTATTTTGACCTGGGCAATGCTTCTCAGGCTTTTGAACTCAACACCAAGGTAAGAGAGTTACATCAAGAGGGGATGTTTGTTACTGAATACTTTCTTGCTTTAAAAACTCTGTGGCAGGAGTTGGATCTTTATGATGCAGCAGATCTTTAAGGTTTAGAAGCTAATGCAAGGTTTAAATGTTACTTAGAGAAAAGACGTCTCTTATGATTTTCTTGCTGGCCTTAATCGTGATCTTGATGATGTTCGTGGAAGGATATTGGGTCAGAACCCGTTACCTTCTGTTGCAGCTGCCTTTTCTATGGTACGACGAGAGGAACTTCGCCGAAAGGTAATGTTGGGAGACAAGAACTCTAAATCCTCTGATGTATCTGCCTTAGTAGCAAAACATACTCCTCGTCCCCCTAGTGATGCAAAACGTTCTGACCGATGGTGTTCTCATTGCAATAAGAGTGGTCACATTCGCGAAAAATGTTGGGAAATTCATGGAAAACCACCAAATTGGAAAACAAAGGGGTTGAACAAGAGTCGTGCTTATCAAATCTCTTCTGATGTTAAGAGTGAGGAGTCTCGTACCTCTCCAAATTCCGATGGTGTATTCATCCCTAAAGCTCAGTATGAGCAATTTCAGAAAGTGATGTCTCAATCTGCTAAGGCAACTAGTCATGTTGCTCAACAAGGTATGGCATTCCATGTTGATCATAGTAGTCGTTGGATTCTTGATTCAGGAGCTTCTGATCATATGACAGGTAACGCATCCTTGTTTTGTTCTTATACCCCTTATTATCACCAGTCACGAATAAAGACTGCTGATGGTAGTTTCTCTAATATTGCGGGAAAGGAATCCATTAAGCTCTCTGAACATATTACTCTGAATTCTGTCCTTCATGTCCCTTCTCTTACTTGTAACCTTATCTCTATTAGTAAACTTTCCTCTGAATTGAATTGTGTTGCTAAATTCTCTGCCAAAATCTGTGTTTTTCAGGAACATGATTCGGGGCTGATGATTGCCAGTGCTAGAGAGGAAGAAGGGCTTTACTATTTTGAAGAAGATTCTCATGAAAAGAGATTTTTTGCAAATCACTCTTTATGTTTATCAGACGATTGTAATGATGTTTTGTTGTGGCATCGTCGTTTAGGACACCCAAATTTCTTTTATCTTCAAAAGCTGTTTCCAAACTTATTTATCAATAAAAAATCAAGTTCCTTTTTTTGTGATGATTGTCAGTTTGCAAAACATTTTCGTGTTTCTTATTCTCCCCAGAGATTATCATGTTCGTCTCCATTTACATTGATTCATAGTGATATTTAAGGCCCAGCTCGTGAAAAAAATATATCTGGAACTCGTTGGTTTATTACCATCATTGATGATCATTCTAGAGTATGCTGGGTATATCTTCTAAAGGATAAGTCTGAAGCTGTAACCACTTTTAAAATTTTTCATGCTATGGTACAAACTCAATTCCAGACCTCTATCCAAATCCTACGAACTGACAACGGTACTGAATATTTTAATTCTGTTCTTGGTGATTACCTAACCAAGCAAGGTATCATCCATCAAAGTTCTTGTCCTATCACCCCTCAACAAAATGGGGTGGCTGATAGAAAAAATAGACATCTCATTGAAGTTGCTAGAGCCCTCTTGTTTACGATGCATGTCTCTAAATACCTGTGGGGGGAGGCTGTCTTGACTGCATCATATCTCATCAATAGGATGCCCTCTCGTGTCCTGAATTTTCATTCTACCATATCTTGCCTTACCCGTTTTTTTCCCTCTTTTCGGGCTCTCTCTTCCTCCATAGTTGTTTGGCTGTGTGGTTTTTTTTCATATTCCTCCACATCAAAGGTCCAAACTTGATCCAAAGTCTGTTAGATGTGTCTTCATAGGGTATCCTCCTAATCAAAAAGGTTATAAGTGCTACTCACCTTCTCTTCGAAAGGTCTTTGTTTCTATGGATGTTACTTTTTATGAAACACAATCATTTTTTCCCTCGACTTCTCTTCAGGGGGAGTCTATCGGTGTAAATGAAGACAAGTCTTGGATTCCAAATAATTCTACTGTCTTACCTTTACCCTTAGAAACATCTGTTGTTCCTTTACCTTTGGAGACATGGGGAGTTAATGTACAGGAGACAAGGATAGCAACTGTACCAGAGACTGGAGATCCTCCAGGTAAATGGGGAAAATTCTACAGCAGGCGTAAATCTCCTCAAGATCTTCTAGACTGCCAGTATTCTGACCCGAGTCCTAGTTCCAGCAATGCACTTGAGAACATTGGGACAGCTGACCTAGATATGCCTATTGCCCTTCGAAAAGTTATTAGATCTTGCACTGCTCATCCTATTTCTCATCACATTTCATATGAAAAGTTATCTCCAGGTTTTCGTGCTTTCAACACTATATTAGATGGTACAAACATACCAAAAAATATCCAAGAGGCACTTAATGACCCTAAATGGAGGGATGCTGTCTTTGAAGAAATGGATGCACTTAAAAAAAATGGAACTTGGGAGTCCGTGGCACTTCCCAGAGGAAAGAAAATTGTAGGTTGCAAATGGGTGTTCACAATAAAATTTAATGCAGATAACAACATCAACAAATATAAGGCCAGATTGGTTGCCAAAGGATTTACTCAGACTTACGGGATAGACTATCAGGAGACGTTCGCTCCCGTTGCCAAACTTAACTCTATCCGAGTCCTACTATCACTTGCTGCCAACCTTGATTGGCCCTTGCATCAATTGGACGTAAAAATGCTTTCTTAAATGGGGACTTACATGAGGAAGTTTACATGGATCCACCACCTGGTTTTGAAGAGGGAGATGGTTCAGTATGCATGTTGAAGAAGTCTCTTTATGGACTTAAACAATCCCCTAGAGAGTGGTTGGAAAAGTTTACTCGTGTTGTTAAAGAAAGAGGATTTATCCAAGCTCAGACTGATCACACTTTATTTTTTAAACACTCCGATAATGGCAAAATTGCTATCCTCATTGTTTATGTTGATGACATAATTGTCACATGTGATGACTGGGAGGAAATAAAATCTTTAAAGTGGGGTTTAGCTAATCAGTTTGAACTGAAGGATCTTGGATCACTCAAATATTTCCTTTGAATGGAAGTTGCTCGTAGCAAGGCAGGAATTTTCTTATCTCTGAAGAAATATATCCTAGACTTGCTACAAGAAACAGGTATGCTTGGGTGCAAGCCTGCAGAAACTGATCTACTTATCTCACACTCGGCCTGATATTGCATTTGCAGTTAGCATGGTTAGCCAATTCATGCATTCTCCTAAGGAAAAACACCTTAGTGCAGTTTATAGAATCCTCAAGTACCTCAAAAACACCCCTGGTCGAGGAATGCTCTTTAAAAAGGGATAGTCATTGATTCTTGAAGCGGTCGGGCGTTACAAAGTTGATGACATCATTATAACTGGCAGCGACCAAGTTGGGATTGATCACTTAAAGAAGTACCTATTCAATCAGTTTCAGACCAAAGATCTTGGCAGACTTCGATATTTCTTAGGGATCGAAGTGGCACAGTCTAGGCAGTGCATCTCCATTTGTCAGAGGAAGTATGCACTGGATATCCTAGATGAGATTGGTATGTTGGGATGTAAGCCTATTGATACACCTATGGATCCTAATGTTAAGCTGTTACCTGGACAGGGGGAGCTATTGGCAGACCCTGGTCGTTATTGCCGATTAGTTGGAAAATTGAACTATCTTACTGTGACAAGACTAGACATCTCTTTTGCAGTTAGTGTGGCAAGTCAATTCCTTGACTCTCCTTGTGACTCCCATTGGAATGCAGTTATCAGGATTCTTCGATATATCAAACGAGCACCAGGAAGAGGTTTATTATACACAAATAAAGGGAATGCAAAGGTATCTAGCTATTCAGATGCTGACTGGGCAGGTTATCCTTCAAACAGACGATCCACCTCGGGGTATTGTGTTCTCCTTAGAGGAAACTTGATCTCTTGGAAGAGTAAGAAGCAAACTGTGGTTGCAAGGTCATGTGCAGAGGCAGCATATCGGGCAATGCGAAATGCAACCTATGAGCTCATCTGGCTAAAACAGTTGCTTAAGGAATTATATCTCTGTGAACAGTAGCCCATGCAGCTCATTTGTGACAATCAAGCAGCATTGCATATATCCTCTAACCCAGTCTTTCATGAGAGGACCAAATATATAGAAATTGACTGTCTCTTTGTTAGAGAGAAGATTCAGTCAGGAGAGATTGAAACAGCATTTGTCAATTCCAGTGATCGACTTGCAGATGTTTTCACCAAGGCTTTTAGAGGTCCCCAAATAGATCATATATGTAACAATCTGGGAGTTTATGATGTATATGCACCAGCTTGAGGGGGAGTGTTAGAAATAATATAATATTAAATAGCATTGTATTATTTATTATTTTGTTATTCTAGCAGGTTATTTGGGCTTGGCCCATTAGGTTATTTAACCTCTTTAAATAGAGGTCTGTTGTACAGTTCTATACATAATTAAATACAATACATTCATACATTCTAATTAATGTAATAGTGGATAATGCTAGAGAAAATGTGATATTTCATCATCCAAGAGAAGAGTCTCCTCAAAGAAGAGTTACACATGGAGATTGAGCATCATTTTTCTGCCACAACACTAGGGACACACACGGTGTTGTTGTAGAGAGAGACGCAGTGCTGCAACAAAGAGAGTAGGTAGCTCAGTTCCTATTTCAGTGGGAACATTATTGCCCGAGGATGCCTCACTGTACGATCTGCATACCTTTCAGCATCAGTTTTGGGGCTTCAACATTAGGGACAAGGTTGTTTCATAGGGGCGTGGTATTGATACAATTTGTATTAGAAGGGAAAGGATAATCATCCTAAAAGAATGAAAGAGTATACACAATGATTAAAGGGTTGGTTAGTTAGTTAGGTGGGTTGGGTTTTTTTTGTATAAAAGGGGGAGTTGTCTTCACTCTTCTCAATAGGATAGGGTGATATTTTTTCCAGTATAGTGACTAAGAGTGCTCAGTGAGAAGGGGAGTGTCCCTTGGCAAGAGAAGTGTCTCTTGTATGTTCATTTGGTTTTCTCATCAATAAAAAGATATTCTTCCTTTTTCCAGTTTTCTTTCCGTTTCCATCTCTAAATAATCCAGAACAGTGTTATATATAGTATATGTTATATTTAAATTTCATTTTTATTCTTTTTCCCTTAATCTTTTCATACATTTCATTTGGGTTCATTTGCCACCGACTCCAACTAGTTTGGGATAAAGATGTTAATGTTGATTGTAAAGAATCAATTCAACCACAGATTTCTTAAGGATCTTGATATTCAACAAAAACCAATTCTTACGAGAGGCCGTTTAGATGTGAATCCTTTTTAATGGTTTGACTTGGAGTCTTTCTTGGTCTACTTCTACCTCTAATTATTGGACTATTCTCCATTTGATCAACCCTTCTAACTGGAGCTTCTATTGATCTTCTCACTATTGGTCATCTAATGCAACATTCTGATCTCAATAACACTTATAGTATGCTCTTGTTGATCCTTTATTGCCTAACATTCAGTGCCATAAAGTATCAGTCTTATGGTGGTGTGGTGAAGTTTTCCTTTGAGCTTAAGAGGCACTTTTTTTTTTAATCACATATAACACCTTAAGCATTCCTCCATTCCAACCTCCCAGCTTGAATCCTATGATTTTTATCTCCCTTTGTTTAGCCATCGCTTTGTATGATAGATCCAAGGTATGTTAACTGTGTGACTTGTGATAAGATATGATCTTAAATTATTACCTTTAAGTCGATTGTAGTGAGTGTGTTGCTGAACTTGCATTCTACATACTCCATTTTACTTATGCTTGAAGGGAAACTTTGTCATTCCAATGCTTCTCTCCATGCTTGGCATGTTGTCATGGAAATATTACATGTGTATTTATTTCTCTTTCTATTTTGAGCTCCAAAATTACCTAATAAGTATGGGTTATACCAATCCTCTTAGCTAAAGAAAGGACACAGAATGCCTTGTCACAATGTGCTAAACATATTTCTATTTTATTTCTTCCAGAGCTTTACAAGCCTTGCCTGTTGATGTTGATCCAATTCCTAAAGATATCACAGAGGAATTTGGATTGTTAAATCTTCATGATGTTAGTATCTCTAACTTTTAGAATTCTTTATTGATGAAATTATTTATCATTTTGCCTACTTGACATGAAAATTTGACTATTGGCATTTGGCACCTACTTGGCAGGATAGACTTTAATTTATTATCTGCAATATACAACTGTGCTTGCTGATGAATTGCAAAAGTGTCGTAGTATCAGGAGAAAATGAAATTTATTGAGAGAGAGAGAGGAAACAAGTCATCCTCAAGTAACCAAGACATGGAAAAAAGAGAGAAAAAAAGTAGACGGGCTCTTATAAATAGTTGTATCAGCTAGTTATGCACAATATGAATATTTGATATATTTGTCTTCTTCCTTTTAGTGTGGCCAATTGTATAAATCGATGAATATGTGCCCAGGAAAAAAATGCAAATCACAATATTGGTGGAAGACGAGCATGTGGATGAAGACTGAGAAATTGTCTACAACAGAGGAAAGCAAGGTGGGAAGATGAACAGCCAAAAAACTCATGCAGGGAGAATCCCCAGTTTCCACCTTGAGGAAAAGGTGGAATTTTAGGGGGCTGCAATTGATAGGATATAGGAATTTAGGGAGTTAGTCAGAAAGTTATAGAATCAGTTACAAATTAATGATACAATTAGTCAGGTGTTAGTTGTAAGAGCAGGGGCTTAGCTTAAATAGTAGGAAGTGATAGAAGAGAGGGGGGTTCTGAATTGTTAGCATTGGAAAGCTGAGCATTATTAGCTCTGTTGTAAAAGGAGAAACCCTTTGTTGAAGGGGAAACCCTTTGAAGTAGAATTCTCTCCTTTTTTCTGTTGAGATTCAATAAACCTTTGCAGCATTGTTCTCTTTTTTCTCTTTTCTCTGTCTTTCTCAGTTCTCTCTGACTTGTTGGCTCGTAACAAATATAAAACAGTTGAAAAGGTATACAAAGGAGTTCCATGGGAACTCAGTATAGTGGAAACGGCTAATGCTCCTCATAGTTGATGATACTGCTTTAGACTAGGTTGAAACAGATGGTATCTGGAAGAAGCTCTATCTTGTGTCTACACAATCAATCTTGTTTATAATGTGAGTACATTAAGTATAATAGCTAACCAAGGACTAATTACGTAGCTAATTAACATCTATAATCTGCAGTAATAACTATTGTTGACTAATATTCTAACATGTGCTAAATGGGCTAATGTGCTAATGAATCTAGACTATTCCATGTCTTTCCCCAATGTCCGTCTCTGCTTCAGGATAGGGACCAGGAAAAACAATAAGTCCGAAGTGGTCGATTGAAAGGAGGGGATGAGAGCAAAATGGTCAGGTCAATCAGGCACTCTGCCTCACAACCTAGGGAGGGCTCCTAACTTGCATACTTCTCCTAGATGCTGTGGATGCACTAAGTCTTTTAAATCAATCAATTTGGGGATGCAAATATCCATCTAGCTTGGGAGCACTTGTGCCTATGAATCTAGGCTAATATTTGTTAGTAAATGTGTTAAACTGCTTCTAGTTTGAGGAATGCCCTTATGTTCTATGGTCTCTTTGCCAAAGAAAAAACTGCTGATTCTTTCCTACTTTCCGAATTTTACTGTCATCTGTTTCTACACATTTTCACTGAAATTTTATATTATTTGATGTCAACAATATAGGCATATTTTGGGATCCACAAACCGAAGGATGTTAATGAAGCTGATTTGGCCCGCAAGAGATTTATATTTGATGAATTTTTTTACCTGCAGGTGAGGTTATTATTTTATATCTGATTTTATTTGCAGTATCATCTATGGATAATTCTATACTTCTTTTGCTTATTTTGCTACCATTACAAGCCTTTGGTTACATGATTTCATGTATAAAGTCATTTCTTTCAGTTAGCTATTTGAAAGTTACCACTGACCATTGTTCTTTGTATGTATCATTTACTTTCACTTACTATTAACAAGTGCTTTTTAATTTTTTAAATCCTTGTAGCTTGGTCACAGTTTAGCTCATTCTATGACTGTTCAATTCAGAATTGATTCTATCGAAAGGTTCACCTAAATTTTTGTGAAGTTGACAGCTTTTAAGAATAAATTCAGGAGTTCTCAATGTTCATGATAATAATCACATCTCTTGCTTTTGAATGATTTTCCTGGCAAATTGTATGCTGGGTGTTTGCAATTATTGTTTGACCTTTTCCCCAGTGGTTTATTACTCTATCATGCTTTCTTGTAATAATTATTTACCACATCCAACATCACCCTGAAAGTGTCACAAGAATAACATTTTATGCTGTTCTTATAATGAATACTATAGATCACCAAAAACCCTACCCAAATTTTTTTTAGTGCTCCACACTCCAATCTTTCTTGGAATCTTCACTTTTTTGGTAACTTAAATGCTAGGGAATCATCTGAAATGGAATCTCCCTTTGGATCTTCTTAACTCTGTTTCTCCTGTCTTTTGTCAGTTAGGACGCTTATTCCAAATGCTTGAAGGTCTAGGCACACAAATAGAAAAGGATGGATTGCTAGATAAGTATAGAAGACCAGAACATAATGTTGTTTGTACAGAGGAATGGTCTTGTCTCACCAAGAAGTTTATGGAGGTCCTTCCATATTCTCTTACTTCTAGTCAACTGCATGCTGTTTCAGAAATTATTTGGGATCTAAAAAGGCCAGTTCCCATGAATCGGCTACTGCAGGTTTGAATTTCACTTATCTTGATGTTGCTTTTCTATCATATTCATCCATTATTCCATTCACTTCTAATTGTTTCTTGGTTCATGTACTTCCTGTTTCCTAGCAATAAAAAATGTAACGGTAGAAATCAGGGCATTATTGAACAAGTCCCCCAAGCATGCAAACACAATTCAATTCAACATTTAACTTCTATCAAAGTGAGGATTCTAACTTTAGCCCCCAAGTCAAAGCTCTAATCTTTCAAGATGATCGTCATTATTCGGTAACCAACCTTTTTTTTTTTTTGGATAAAAGAAGAATATGATTATGATAAAAGTTAAAGATTACAAAGAGATTGTAAACCAAAGAAAAAAAAAAAATCAATGAAGCAAAGCTACTCAATCCCCAAACAAATCTATTAGTGAAACCCCTTTTAGAAGACCATGTGCTTTACACCAAGTACAAGCTAAATGCTTAATCTTATTCCGAAGAAGCTGTTCACCCAGAGATCTCTTGTTACAGATACGGGAATTATGCTTCATCCATATGCACCAAAATAGCATAAACAGAGCATTGCCACCAAAATTTGTCTTCTTTACTTCTTCCTAAACCCGCAAAATTGGTCATCAAAAACTGGTCCAAAGACCTTGGAGTTGGACACACCCAACACTCTCCAAAGAGGCCAAATAAAAGTTCCATACTGAAACAGCTATAGAACATTGTAAGAAACACTCACATAAAAATGAGTGGGTCCCACTAATCTTTTCTCTCTCTTCTTTTTACAACGCTCACTTTTATGTGAGCATGGCAGAAAAAAAAAATTCTGCAGCAAAAGCAGCAACATTTTTCCCTATATATATAAGGGGAAATAGCCTTTAGTGAGATACGGACTTGCAACATGTCATTGGTATTAATTATATTAAACACAGCTGTCCAAATATAGCACTTTACCTTAAAAGGTAAAGTTAGGATTCCCAAAGAGGTTTATCAGGATGGAACAAAATTGTATCAAAAGAATGAGTTAGGAATTGGAAGAAGGATTAAAAACACCCTAGAACGATCAAGAGACCAAATCCTTTTAACAAGACTAGAGGACAAAAGAACAGAGTTAAGAAGATCCAAAGGGAGATTCCATTTCAGATGATTCCCTAGCATTTAAGTTACCAAAAAAGTGAAGATTCCAAGAAAGATTGGAATGTGGAGCACTAAAAAAAATTTGGGTAGGGTTTTTGGTGATCTATAGTATTCATTATAAGAACAGCATAAAATTTTATTCTTGTGACACTTTCAGGGTGATGTTGGATGTGGTAAAACTGTTGTAGCATTTCTTGCATGCATGGAGGTTATTGGCTCTGGATATCAGGTAGGTCACCTCTTTTTTGTTTTTTATTTTTATTTTATTTTGCATCCAGTTAGTTTGTCTATTTAATCCCTTGGTTTCTCATTAGATTCTTGAATGTATAGCATATTGATAGGATGCCAGTGCCACCCATCACTAGGGTGTATGTGAGGAACGGCCATAGAGGATCAGGCCATAAGCAAGCCCACGAAGTGTGACTGACACATGAGGGAGAGGAAAGATAAGAGAGGATAAGGGGGTATGTTGAATGTATTGGGTTGAGTATGGAGAGACCAGAGCCTCTCGCAAGCTCTGGAATATCATTTTCCTTCATTTTCTTACGTTTTCTCTCTATACAACTTGTAATTATGTACACCGATACTGATATCCCTTTCACATATCATAATGGTGATTGATGGGTTTATTGATGGGCTATGACTAGTGGGCCCAAGTTCAGCAATGCAAAGTTAGTTAGTGAATTAGCTAAACTATTCTAGAATATTCCTAAAGTATAGAATAAAAGGAGTGTGTGTAGGGTGATAGGGGGATATTGATTATTTTGGTGAATTGGGTTTTAGAAAGGATCTCTTGGGATCTCTTTGGCCTAGGTATTTTGGCTTGAGAGTAAGTGAGGTCTTTTGGTGTTTTATTTGTTATTCCTTTGTATTTCATGTTATCTCTTTGTTATGCTTACTAGTTAGTGTCTCTTTGATGAATACTGAGATAATGGAAGTATTTTACTATTCAGTTGTTGTTATCTTTGCTGTTGAATATTTTGGGTTCCATCATATTGTTAGAGTATAATATATGTAAAGAACCAATTAAATCCAAAAGCTTAAGCTTTTGGGTGAGGCTACATTAATGGTTTTATATATCTCAACACGCCCCCTCACACGAGAGCCCACTGGGCTTGAAGGGTGGACAATGCACAGGCCCACCTACCTTTGCGAACAAAGAAATTCCACTTGAAAGAAAGTGGGGGGCGGCGAGGATCGAACCCGGGACACGAGGCTCTGATACCATGTAAAGAACCAATTCAACCCAAAAGCTTAAGCTTTTGGGTGAGGCTACATTAATGGTTTTATATATCTCAACAATATAAACCATTAAAAAGGTCCTCACCTAATAGCTTAAGCTTTTGGGTTGAATTGGTTCTTTACATGGTATCAGTATCCCAGGTTCGATCCTCGTTGCCCCCCATTTTCTTTGTGGAATTTCTTAGCATAGGTAGGTTAGGGCCTCATGCATCATCCACCTTTCAAGCCCAATGGGGTCTCTTATGAGGGGACGTGTTAGAGTATAATATAAACCATTAAAGATGTCCTTACCTAACAGTTTAAGCTTTTAGGTTATATTGGTTCTTTACAATTATCATTATGGATTTTATTCATTTTAGAAAAAATTTAACATTTAATGCATATTAATATCAGGTTTTCTTGTCTCATGATTAGGCTGCTTTCATGGTTCCAACTGAGTTGCTTGCAATCCAGCATTATGAACACTTGCTTAATTTGCTTGAAAATTTGGATGAGGTCAAGTGCAAGCCAACTGTCGCTTTACTCACTGGTTCAACCCCACTAAAACAATCACGGATGATTCGTAAGGTATGAATACTCCCCTTTTTTCTTAATCAATGTGCATTTATGAAATTCTTATAATTTTATCTGATTTATGGTGTTTCAGGGTATCCAGACTGGAGAAATCTCGATGGTCATAGGTACCCACAGTTTGATAGCAGAAAATGTGGAATTCTTAGCCTTACGTATTGCTGTGGTGGATGAGCAGCATCGCTTTGGTGTGATTCAAAGAGGAAGGTTTAACAGTAAGGTGGTTCACATTTCTTGTTCAGGATTTTATTATGGTTATATTATGTGTAAAGAACCTTGGGATACACCACTCCAAAAGCTAGCTCAAAGGGTGAGAGTGCCCAAAGCCTTATAAAGGCCACATTAGTTGCCCACACAATCAATGTGGGACTATATATCTCAACATTATGCATGCGTCCCTGTCCATATAACAACAACATTGACCAAGCCTTGTGCCACTAGGTGTTATCTGCTATATGGATCAATTTATGCCATTGAGCTGTATGAAAACTCACCCCACATTCGCTAGTCGGGTTTAACGGGGAGTGGTTTTAGGTTTTAGCTGTATGAAAACCATGAACATGATCAAAGAATTTACTAGACAGAAAGGAGTGAAATAAAAAGTAGGATGAGTTATTACCTTAAACAAAGCAATAAGGAATCAATGCCCTTAACAACAAAAGATCATTCCATTCCCTCTGCATGTCTAACATGGAGATTCCCCTACCTGTGCTAAATGTTGATATGGCTATATTTCAAAGCAAGATTCTTGTTACATAGTCTAATGGAATGACTACTTCTTGGTTTATACATATATATTGTGTTAGAAGTTTCATATATGATATAAAAATGTTGGTTTTACTAATAGCAATTAACTAGAACTGTTTGCATAGTTAAATAAGAATATAGATTATACAAATAATTATAGTAAACCAAATAACAAAAATCAAATGTAGTTAGAATATTTGGAATAAAGATTGAAGTGATGCCTATTTGACACAAAATTAATTAGTCAAGTATAATTAAGTATACTACGTGATGTTCAAACCCCCATTATTAAGTGTTCCTTAAAATATAAGTAGATATAAAATTGAGCTAGTAGCTTCCATTCCAATGGATAGTTCTCAGCATAAGATGTTTACATGGTCTAAAATAACACAAGAATGTTGTGAGTTAAATAAGATAGTTACTTGAGTTTAGTTCTTCTGAATAACCTTCAAAAAGCTGATTGATGATCATTTGCGAGGCCTGTACAAGAATTATTCTGTTGGATAGATTTAAAGAAGTGTAGCTCACTGTGGTAAACATTCATGTTATGATTTCATGGAAATTGTATCTTCGTTCCCACTGCAAGTTGCATCTTGCATATGGCTTATACTTCTTACTCCCAGATGTGTTGTCGTCATTTCTCTTTTTTTTTTTTTTTTATCTGATTTTTTTTAATAATATTATTGTTTATGGTCTCACTACTTTCTCTCAGTTATATTTTACATCTTCAAATTCGAGTGGGGAAGTTGTTGCTACAGATGGGTCCTCAAAGAGTGATGCGCATATGGCTCCACATGTTCTTGCCATGTCTGCCACTCCCATCCCAAGGACACTCGCACTTGCTTTATATGGTGATATGTCACTAACACAGGTACTTAGTTTTTTCTGTCCATGACTCTGTTGCCAAACATCTTCCCTTCCCCTCCCTCTACGTCTGTCTCCTTTGCCTTGACAATGTTTGAATTTATTCGATGTCTATAGCCAACATTCATCCTGTATTTCGTCTCAATCTTGTCCAAATTCTTCATGGTCTAAACAGAGTTTCTGTGGTATGTCATGCAGAGTGGGGGCTGACAGACGCCTGAATTTGGTCTTTTACATCCTTGTGTTATGATATTAGACTGTCTTATCATGTTCTTTGAAAACTTTTTGAAGGAAATATTATGTTGATTGTTTCACTTTGGCTTGTTTTTACCAACTTTCACAATTTAATATTTAAATTTATTTTCTGTTGCAAACGCTTACTTCTTTGCATTCTCCCATCACAGATAACCGACTTACCTCCGGGAAGAATTCCTGTTCAAACATATACCATTGAAGGAAATGACAAAGGATTTGAGGACGTCTACAAGGTGAGAGTCCTTTTAAAAGTGTACTTCATTTTACCTTTATCATTTTTTCCATTTATTTTAGTAATTGACCATAATTTCATAATTTAGGTAAAGAAAATATTGTATTTTCCTTATTCGCTTGATTCTGAATCTGAATATTGGTATCAGATCTGAAAACTCTAAAAGAAAATATTAATATGATCTATCTTTCATACAAGAGGTGAGCTCTCAATAAATAAAAAGAAAGCCTAAGCTAACATATAAAGAATCTACCGTAATCTTGTGAATCTACAGTAAGGTTGTTTAACAACATAATTATTAGTTTTAATATTTATAATACTCACCTAAGTTATCATTCCTAACTTGCCAATGAAGGGATATATCGAGTAGTAATCAGCCTGTGATCTGATTTCTCCTTGATGAAGTGATAGTCGATCTTAATATATGTAAAGAACCAATTCAACCCAAAAGCTTAAGCTGTTGGGTGAGGCTACATTAATGGTTTTATATATTTCAACACGCCCCCTCATACGAGAGCCCACTGTGCTTGAAGGGTGGACAATGCACAGGCCCACCTACCTGTGCGAACAAAGAAATTCCACTTGAAAGAAAGTGGGAGGCGGCGGCGAGGATCGAACCCGAGACACGAGGCTCTGATACCATGTAAAGAACCAATTCAACCCAAAAGCTTAAGCTGATAGGTGTAGTTACATTAATGATTTTATATATCTCAACACGCCCTCTCACACGAGAGCCCACTGGGCTTGAAGGGTGGACAATGCACAGGCCCATCTACCTGTGCTAAGAAATTCCACAAGAGAAAGTGGAGGGCGGTAAGGATCGAACCCGAGGCTCTGATACCATGTAAAAAACCAATTCAACCTAAAAGCTTAAGTTGTTGGGTGAGGCTATCTTAATGGTTTTATATATCTCAACAATATATATTGTTCTGTCGTGCTAAATTTCATTATGAGCTATACAAATGACATTTATTGTCGTAGAACAACTTCATTGGTTCTTCATATTTGACTATGAGGTTGTCTAGAATAATTTTTAGCCATAATAGTTCACAATCACCTTGAGTGTTATTTTGATTCTTACTCCTCCATGCTACAAAATTCCCACATAGAAAAAGCACAATAGCTGATCTCCGATCAGTAATGGATCCTGGATAATCAGCATAAGTATATACTTCTAAGGACGAGTTTCCACATTTTTGGAATAGCAATCCTCTCCCTGGTGTAGCTTTAAGATATTGGAGAAATCTGTCCATTGCATGCAGGTGTCTCTCACTCGAATCATGTATAAACCAGATATACCAATCTTCCTACTAGCCTTTGATACTGCCCTTTATGAACGTTGGAACTCTCCTCTTCACTCCCATTTTGTGGTTCTGCTCAGTAAGAAAACTGATAGCTTTACACCCAAGTTTTTCAACTTTCTTAAAGAGATCAAGAACATACTAACTTTGAGAGATAAAAATACCTTGTTTGGAGTAGGAAACCTCTATTCCAAGAGTCATCCTTTCTTGTAGTAGTCATTTCTCAATTAGGTATTCCCCTATTATAATGATATCATCTACGTAGGCAAGAAGAATAGTGAGTCTGACCCGATTCCAACTGCTTTACCAGCTTTGTCATTGCCTCCCCGGTCTAACCTTCCCTTGCTTTGCAAAAGGTATACACTAAACTTGTAATCCTTCTCCTTATGTTACATTGAGTTACTATCGATTTTCTTATTTACATTATTCTTGTCTTTCTTCCTTCAGCTTGTATTCCAAAGACTACAAGTGATGCTTTATCCCATCTTGGGTGGTGACTGACTATGATTGATGAGATGAATGCACTTTAGAGTGGTGGCACTTGGGACTTGGTTCCTATTCATCCTAGAAAGTTGGTTGTTGGTTATCGGTAGTTTTTTTCTATTAAGATTTGTCTGGATGGCACGATTGAGTGTTGACTGCTTTAAGGTTCCTCTAGTAACTAGAGGGTGTATCCAGATATTTGGCTTGAATTATAGAGACACATTCTCACCACTAATGAAAATGGCATCCGTTTGCCTTTTTCTCTCTGGTGACTATTCGCCACTGGCCACTTCAACAACTTGATATTAAAAATAATAAAGAATAGTGGTATAAATCAACGGAAATCAAGAACAATGAATGTTGTAAAGGATAATTGTTGTAAGATAAGGACAATACACACTTTTTGGTTTTTCAGAATCTAAGAATGAAATAACAATAATTAATTGTAAAAATGAAACACTATAAATGAAGTTGGCAAATCGTGAAGAACTGGTTGGAGTTTACTTTTCCGATTAAATCCAGTACTCAGGTTACCATGTTTTAAGCTCGATTCCTCTGACAACTTAATGTAATTCCCTAGAATTTTATCTTATACATTCCCATGCAAGATCTAATTCCATAAATTCATGGTTCAAAGTTCAAAACCCTTTTTGTGAGTGTTGCTGCAACTCATTTATGAGAATGTTGGTGAAATAATTGTAGACACAAAAACCACTACACACTGTCTGATATCAAGTTCCAGAAGTGATGCTTTCCACCAAAAAATTGAGGTTTTTGATACACGTCAATCATAATATCAAACATTAAGTATTGAAATGGATAAATGGTTCATTGCTACAACATTAAAAAACAAAATGCTACAAACATGAATTTGGGTACTTGTATTTCCCTATCATAGAAAAGCTTAGCTCATGCTGTGAAGCTTGTCTAAGACCACACACAACATCAACATCAACACACCTTTATCCCAAACTAGTTGGAGTCGATGGTAGATGAACCCCAAAAAAAGGTACGATGAGATTGATAAAATAATTATAAAAATAAACTTTAAGCATATATATTTATATATAATATTTTCTATAAAAAGCAGTACACAATTACAAGGAAAAATAAATTAAAGTAACACAAACAAGGATATATAGGAAGACAGAAAAGAATAAGAAGGTAAGAAAAAAAAAAAGGAATATAGGGAAAAAAAAAGAAAAAGATAAACACATAAATAAATAGGTAAGAGAAAAAGATTAAAAGGAAAAATGAAATAAAAGAAAAGAAGGGAAAAAGAAGGGGGGATGAAGAGGAAAAAGACAAAAAAGAGGATAGTCTGGAACGTAGGAATAAAATTGGGTCTAACCCTCCACCATTCTTATGACTTTTCCCCACTCCGTCCTAAGACACACCGTCCGCCAATCTATATCCCACTCTATTAAGTCTTGTTTTACTATTTTTTTCTAAGTAAGTTTCAGTCTACCTCTACCTATCTTAATGTAAAGCTCTTAGTAACAACCTTTTGTTCTTGCAGGAGCATCCAAGGGTCTTCACATTACATGCCAAAACCACCTCATTTTATGTTCTCTCATCTTTTCTGCCACTAGTACTACTTCTACCTTTCATCGAATATATTCATTTCTTATTTTATCAATCCTCGTATAATCACACATCCACCTTAACATCCTCATTTCCGTTACTCCAATTTATGCTCATGTTGCTTATGTGCTTACCAACATTTAGCTCCATATAACATTGCAGGCCTTACTGCTGTTACATAAAATTTTCCTTTTAGCTTAATAGGAATTTTGCAATCACACAAAAACCCAGATGCCTTATGCCATTTTATCCACTCTGCTTTGATTCTATGATTTACATCCTTATCAAGCTCTCCACCTTTTTGCAAAATTGATCTAAGATATCTGAAAGCATCTTTCTTGAGTACCTCTTGTCCAAGCAAATGTAAGGAGTCTTGATCTCTATCTCTTGCCAGAGAAAACTCACACTTCATATACTCAGTCTTGCTCTGGCTTAACGTAAATCCTTTAGACTCCAACGTGCTTCTCCACAATTCGTTTTCTATTAACACTGGCCTTGGTCTCATCAATGAGCAAAAAGCATACACCATGGCACTTCTTCTTGAATATCTTTCATTAGTTCATCCATAACTAAGGCAAAGAGATAAGGACTTAGTGCAGAACCTTGGTGTACACCTACCGTGATAGGAAAATAATTTGATGTTCCATTACAAGTTTTCACACATATAGTAGCACCATCATACATATCCGTGATTGCGTCTACATACTTTGATGATACTTTTATCTTCTCAAGAACCCACCGTAAAACTTTTCTTAGGACCCTATCATATGCCTCCTCTAGATCTATAAACACCATATGTAAGTCCTTCTTTTCTCGATATCTTTCCATTAATTGTTGCATCAAGAAAATGGCTTCCATGGTACTTCTTCCCAGCATAAAACCAAATTGATTTATAGAGACCTTGGTCTTTCTCTTGAGCGGTGTTCAATAACTCTCTCCCAAAACTTCATTGTATGGCTCATAAACTTAATGACTTTATAGTTAGAACAATTCTGAATATCTCCCTTGTTTTTGTAAATAGGCACAAACAAACTTTTCCTCCGGACATCAGACATCTTATTTGTTTGAAGAATCTGATTGAAAAGATTGGTCAGCTATTTTATTACCACATCTCCTACAAGAAAATTGTTAGAATAGATATGATTAGATATGATTAGATTACTTCCTATCTGTAAATATTATTCCTTTGTGATTAGTTCTGGCCTACTCACTTAAGCCCATTAGGGTCTCTATATATTGTAACTCTTTGTATCAGATTAATACACAACATATTATTTTATTCTAGGGACCCTCGCTTCCACTTAAAAACCTTGTTTTCGCTTTAAAACCTAAGCCAACTGCTTAGGAGTCCTTTTTCTTGGCCATGCGTCCTTCCGGCAAGCCATCTAGGGTTGTAAGCCCCTTCTGAGTAATTTTCCAAACGCGTCAGCACCTCCGACGGCCATCGGAACCACCGTCCGCCACTGTTCAGGCCGCCGGAGAAGTTTTCCGGCGAGTTTTCAGCCCAGACCACACGCGATCAGGACCATCTCCTCCCGGCGACCAAGTCTGTGGAGGTCTGGTCACCAACGCATCCCTCACGCGCCGTCACGCACCGCCCATCTCCTCTGCGCGTGGGCCTCACGCGCCACCT